TTCTGCTGCTGTTCTGCCTGGGTCCCGGTTGGTAGGAGAGGGGGCTTGGCCCTGCTGCGGACGGGGGTGGAACTGGGAAGCGCGGAATTTATTTCTTTTCTTCAGCAGCAGCTGATGTCTCGGCGGCAAGTCAAAAACGTCGCACGTACTGTCGTTTTTCTACCCGCCAGATGGATCTGAGACCGTTTACCTCTTTGCAAGCGTATTTGATGTGGTTAAATAAAAGTCCTTGGTGTCCTTTCAACCGAGTATCCCCAACTTCTAAATTCACATCCACAAGATAAGCTTCATTAGTATCCCAAGGAGTTATGAACAGGATGGGCAGGTATTTGCAGTGGCGGTAATCATACCGTCATACACAAACCCAGCACTTGTGGATCTGTTTGGCGCAGTGTCCTGGTAACATAAATCACGGCACTCGAGGGCTCAATTGTTAAAGCACATTTAAACTGTTCTCTGTTCACCTACGTATAGGATCCAAAAGTAATGAACTTAGCATTTTGCAGCTTATCATTAATATAATCTGGTTTATATGATGAGCAGTGACTTAAATGCAGCAAATGATATAGTAGGTAAGAAGATGTGTGGTGGCAGTAAAGCACTTGACATGTCTGACATTTTACTCTATAAGGGAGTCTTGGAAAATTAAAAAAAGGGGGGGGAGGAGAGTAGAGAGACATTCAGACTCTGCAAATCACATCTCATGGGGGTTGTGACAGGACAAATGGACCCTCGGTAGAAAGGAAATGGTTTTGTTTACTGAATACGTTTCGGTAGGAATCTGGAATGGAGGGTACCTGGGAGGTCACCTCAACATAATGAAGTCTTGCTGGCATAAATGCGTCGGCTGGGAACGTTACACACCAGCAGCAGTCCCACTTGGGTGGCAAGCCTTTGGTGTGCTTACTGCTGCTCTCAAAGGCATGTACATCGTTTGGGTCAGGGGAGCCTTCAGCTGTATGAACGCACTCGAGCTCCTCTGTAGTATGGCAAGGATAGTGTGGGCCGAGAGAGAACGGCCAGTTTAATGATGTGTTTTGGCAACAACTCTTGTCTAAGTTATTTCCCCTCACTGTAATTGCACTCTTGCTTCAGCTGCACCGACGCAGCCATTTCTAAGTCTACCCCACGTGTCACCTATTTGCCTTTTTTGGCTGTTGTGGATTCCTTGTTAAACCAGATCAGTTCGCTGATGTGGCTCTGACAAATTTGTGCCAGCACAACTGAAGTAGCATTACACAGGGTAGGGAATAAACACTGGTTGGTGAAGGGGAACTGGAATATTTTAAACCAGCAATAGTGCCAAACGCTTTATCAATAAACTGTGTCTTCAGTAGTACCAGAATTAAAAGAAATGCCCTACATCTGTGTTAGAGGACAACAGCTTACGTGTACCTTGAACCAGCTCCACACTTGGCCACATTTATTTGGGAATTGTTTAGGTCCTGCTGAGCTAAGCAGGAACAAGTGCTTGCTCTGGGGTACGTCCACATAAAGGGTGGGCCTAGAGCAATACTGTGTCTGGAGAGCCGCACGGGCGCTCACAGGCAAGGCTAGACTTTCACCTGTCTGTAGGGCGTCCTTCAGAAAATAGCTGGATAACAAACAGGACTCGGACTGATCCTTCAACAGAACAGAAACAAGCAGGTGAAGCGCTTGAAGCTTTCTTAAGAATTTGGGCAAGAAAAGAAAGAAGTCAACAAATGCCAGTAAAAAAAAAAGAATATAAGCTGAAACTATTCCAACGTAGTATGGGCCATTTCCATAGGACAGCATGGCCTCAGAATAGAGGGGATCTTTCTAGTCCAGGGCCAGAGGAGAATGCAGAGTTCGCAGTACCCCTGCCTGTGTCTTTCTTTTTCCACGGATTAATGCAGCTTTGGATTTCAAAAGTGTTTCTGGTTGTAAATGCACCAAAACTGTGAACATCTTTCCAGAGAAAAGGTTCATGCTCCTGCGCAAATACTTCCTCAACAAGCAAGTGGTGTGTCTTGCAGAATTCTTCTGAAGTGTCATTTTAAATGCAATTATTTCAAACATCTAGAAGATCTAGAGCAGTCCCTCGTGCTTCTCTTGCATGTCAGAGTTACTGACTAAAAAAACTAATTAGCGAAAATACTGGCACAAACCTGAGGGCGGGCTTTTCCTCACCTCATACAGATCCATCTATACCCTGGAAAGAAATATAAGTACATATAATACACAAAAATAGCAGGGAACAGGCAAAATATTCAGATTTGATAAGAAATTGCTTCTGGCTGGCAAGTTCAGAATCGGAGCATACTGTTTCCTTCTGTGCTGCTTTCTAACGAGCCTTTGGTCCACTGATTGCTCAGTGCGTCAGTGCCAAAAGGCAACACTCTGGACCATCCAATGTTGCCAAACAGGAGCATTCATTACTAAACCTGAATGATTTTTTTTTTTCTGGCTTCTTTCTGTGACACAAAGGACCAGAAACTTGCTGCTGTTAAGTGAAAATTGGTGTTTTCATCCCAGCCCAGAAGAAAAAACTTTAGAGAAATCAAGTATGACAAAACCCCACCCGGCTTGGCTTAACAGTGTTTTTGATTTCCACCTTGGGATCTCCCAGCAGTGTAAGAAGTACTGAAGAGTTCATATTCACGAGCGCACCGTAAGATTAGGACTCATTACCTGTTTTCTAAACTGCGCTCCTGAGAAATAGCTTGTGGAAATTTAGAAAGATCACCACCAGCAGGCACAGCAACTGCTGCCAGCCTGCAACCAAAAGGCTCCTTTCCCATTTTCCTCGGCTACGCAGTCCTCTGCAACATGGACAAATACATGGGTTACTAAAAAGCCACTTCAGTGTTTTGACCTAAACACCACTTTGCTTGAGTGTGCAGGAATTTCTTCCTTTGGTTTTCTGAGTCTGACAGCTTCTGCACTTGCTACTGTAGGTGGCACTGAACTAACGGCGGAGGATGTGTCCGGTTTCAGCAGCGCTGATGAAACCCTCAGCCCTTTGAACAAAACACCTGACCGGAGGCCCTGGCTCTGCCCCGTGGTGCACACGTGTACGGTGCTGCTGCAGAGCGGGGTTATCGGGTCACGTTTACGTCATTCTGCCTATTCCAGGAACAGCCAAGATGAATCATCTTGATCCACCTGAAAGTCATTCTTATCCAAGATTTTGCTTTCTGGAGAATGTTGACATTGTAAAGGTTGGTTTGTAGCGATGTCTATTCTCGGGAAGGTGCTATTTTTAAATCTTAAAGGTTCCTCCAAAACATTTAACCGGAGATGTTAAAGACTTGCACCCTAGTTATCGCAGCCACCTCGGCTGGCTTTGCTTTCAGTTATAGCTGAGCAATTAGGGTGGCTTTGCAGATTAACATACCTAATGGCACCTGG